GAACCTGATATATTTAAAATATAATCTTTTTACCCGTAATGATTTTGATCTACCGATTTAATAGTTACTAATTACAAAAATAGTAATAACTAGCTACACTTTCATCTCTCTATTGCTATCTTTTTACCGTTATACTATATTTTTTGAACTATTGTTGTATTGCTTATTGTAGCTATTATAAATCTTTTGTATTTACGTGACAAATTGGACCACTATTTTTCGTGAAAAATATGTTGGCGAAAGAATGATAACTATAATGAAATAACATTCATATCCTATTAACTATATATTTAAAATATTTTTCAGCTTATATAAATCATGTCAAAAGGACAATTTTAATAGTGTGTAATAATAGAAAACTGAATACTATCCAATTTCAGCTCACGAGATGCTACAAACCAACTTAATTAGACGCAAGTGGCAAACATCTATAGCACAATAAAGAAATCTAGCGAGGCTTTTGTTAGGATTTAACCCAATCGAATAACTTATATATGTAAAAACAGTATTAAACCCATCTTTAGTTCCACAACAAATGATTTTTTTATTTATAAGATTTGGACTTGGTTCCAAAATCCGCAAACCATATCTTATCATTTTCATCTGTCGTATATGTAAAAACAAATTCGTTGTCAGACACACTTGATAGTGGCTTTGGGCTTCGATAGGGTGACTTCAGTTCATATATATGGAGTCAACGAACTCACTACTCTAGCAAACTGTATAGCAAAGATTAATAAACACATTGCAAAAGACAAAATATATAGAGAAATTTTTAAAAATACTACTTTTCAAATGCTATTTTACAAAAATGTCACATTTTTGTAATCTTTACAAAAATACCATTTTTTCTTTATATTATTTATGTTTTGGTTAATTATGTTCTATTAGGATTTAGTTACGAGGGTTTAGGGGGTTTTAAGAGTCAAAATATTTTTTAGGGTTTAGAATTTTAAGATATAGGTTTTATAAATATATAATTAGTGATATTTTTGCAAATAAATACTCCTAAGTGATATTCTTGCAAATGTGTAAAAAAATGATATTTTTGTAATTGGCCCAAGTATATATACATATTTGCAAAGCTAACTGCATGTGATCGTAATGATTACGTCATGGTTTTCCAAAGAAGTAATTAAAATGGTTTCAGTGTCAAAAAGATTTTTTACACGCAAGTATTAAAGTTGATAGATCACCACTATAATAAATTTGATTTAACGGATGGGGTTTTTCTCCACAAATTTTGAATTGTGACGTCTTATAGTATGATGCATGCAAAGCAACGTAACTTTGATTATAACAATATGATCATTCACCACTATACAGATCAAACTTATAAAATAACAACAAGATATGTTGTCTTGGAATAATATGGCAGATCTATCTCAAAGTTGATACAAACTATTTTATTATTATTTATTTGCGAATTTATACACATGCACCTACGAGTTTATTTAGAAACACAAATTGGTTTCATATACAAATTTTAGTAACGATCGATCT